CAGGAGGCGTTGGTGTGTGATAAGGATGGATTTTTGGAAATTCGTACCAAAAAGGTGCGAAAATGTACTACAAATCCAATACTTTGTATTAAACAAACGGAATGAGCAAGAATAGATGTACACAAGGGCTTCTTCAAATTTCAAACTTTAAGAATACGAAAAGTTGCATTTGGCATTATGTGAATGGATAGAGCTAAAAACAGGAATAAAAATCAAGGTTGGAAAGTATATTGATATAGGAAGATGGTTTTGGAAATGTGTACAAAGTGTGTGAACCGGTACTAAATTTGGAACGGTTTGGTTAAGGTTGAACGGATGAAGCTGGAATTTTGAAATTTTGTATTGGGGTCGCTGTTGGTGGTAGCACGAAAAGTACCAAATATTACTATATTTCGTTAAAACTTTGGATGAACAGATAGTGCTTGCTATTCAGGTGTAGCCTACGGACGAAAAGTACTAAATTTTGTGTTACTTGAAGGGATAGAGAAAAATTCCAAAATTTGATATTTAGATTACTGATGGTATCTGTGTGGCGGTGACAAATGGAACTACATTTGGTATTAGGTAAAGGGATAGAGTTGATACCGCGAAATTTGATATAGATGACTCTGTTGGTGTTTGGAATTGATATGTGGAAGTAGTACTAAATTTGGTATTGGATGAAGGGATAGAGTTGAAACCGTGAAATTTGATATAGATGACTCTGTTGGTGTCTGTAGTTAAGATATGGATGAGTTTTTGCAAACGTATAATATCGTTCGAATATGTGTACTAAATATCACTAAATATGATATTGGGTAAGGGAATTTGGCTGAAACTCTGAAACTTGATATTGAGGTCACTGTTGGTATCCAGGGTTTACATATGAAGCCGTTGGAATAGTATTGGACATAAACATTTGATGTGGTTCCATTGTGCAACGGTTTTACTAATTCCAACTCGGAAATCTTCAAAATGAAAGATTTTGAAGACTTTTTGGTGTAAAATGTATAAATCTCTTATTATTTTTTCCGAAAATGGAAAATGTGAAGTTTTGAATAAAAAATATTGTCAAACTGAACAAATTGTGCATTTTGAGTACTAAAAAGGACTAACATGAACCGTTGGAACGAATCTAACATTATTTTTGCTGCCGAAGTAATAGACTCTTCCTAGTAATTGTATGTACACGTAATATATGTCACTATAGCAAGTGTGTTTAAAAATTAAATTTATACTTTAATTGCGATCTTAAGGGGTTCTCTCAGAGAATCAAATATGGTGTTGAACTACTTGTTCTTGAATCCACATTTTTATATATTGCTATTTAAAAATGGAAGAGGTGGCTTTGGAAATACGTACTACATGTATGCGAAAAATACTAAATGGTACTAATTGGTGTTGGGTGAACGGATACAGCTTGAAATCAGAAATTTGGCATTAGGGTCACTGTTGGTCTGTGGGGTTGAGATTTGGAGTGGTTCTGAAAATACGTACCAAGAAAGTACGAGAAGTACTAAATGGTACTAAATTTGTTATTTGGGGAAGTTGGAAGTATTGGGATCATTTTTGCGCGGTGCGGTTAATATATGGAAGTGGGTATGGAAATACGTACTAAAAGAGTACGAAAAGTACTAAATAACATTATATTTGGTATTTAACGATGGGCTAAAGTTGGATGATCTTTGATGTTGTGTAGGATAGACGAACTATAGGTGTTTTTAATATCCAACAATAAGTGTACCAAAAGAATTAAAATGCACTAAAATTGGTACCTTTCGGAATTATGTGAAATTTAGTACAAGGATCAAGTTTATAAAGTAAAGTTAATAAAAGGAGACGGTTTTGAAATGTGTACTAAGGGTAAAAAATGTACTAGATGGTACTAAATTTGGTACAATACGGTTTTTGGTAAATATATCAAAGTGGAAATGCGTACAATAAGTGCGTAAATAAGTACGGAAAGTACTAAATGGTATTTATAAGACTTCTGGTATTAGGATCAATGGAAATGCGGATGAAAAAAAACGTTTTTTGTTGCAATTAGCCGATATTGTCCACCTAAATTAGACCTGTTGAAAATATTACGATGTGTCAAACAATATTTAATTTTTATGGACCAAATCGAATATCTCCTTTGAGAATTATCAAACAAATTTATTGAGGACAGTGAACGCTGTTCTCTATACTAAGTTTTCTTAATGTGGGATGTATCGGATATCGTTAAATCGCCATAGAATTTATGAATGTATACAGGGTGATATGAAAAAAATGTAACCAACCAACGTACAAAAGCTTTTTTGTGAAAATTTTCCAGAAAAAAAGTTATTCGTGATGGAATTCAAACGTGATAGTGTGATTTCTTTATATTTGGCTGGAAATACACAAGTTGCTATCGTTAGAGCACACCAGCATTTCAATGTGAATAAATCTTTTGTGTCTCGTAACATCGCGCATCACCGTGATACTGGTAGCTCGACGTTAAGGAAGTTAACGGGAAAAAACAGCAACATCAGCAGAAAGGGTTCGAAAAGTAAAGAAGCGACTTAATCGAAACTCGCGTTGCAGTGGCCGAAAAATGGCTCGCGAGCTGAACATATCGCAATATTCCATTCGGCACGGGCGATTGCAGAGTGTCTAAACTGGCTTAATGCCAACGGGAGACCGGCTACCGTAAACGTCCTAACGAACAGCAAGACAGCTATAAGGACTATAACATCCAAAACAGTAACTTCAAGAACTGTTTTGGAATGTATAAATTCAATCAATAACTACTCTCAACACGGCGTATTACGCATTATATGGGTACCAGGGCATACGGGAGTTAGGGGTAACGAGATAGCAAATTCTCTCGCCAAAACAGGCAGGGAATTAGCAACAATAAACGTAGACAATCCAGTGTCGCTAAATGCCTCACGTCTAGTGTTAAAGACATGGGCAAAAAAACACCCACATATCCCTATGGAACAATGAGGGCGTAGGGAAACCACAAAAATCTTATGGGACGATCCAGATGAGATAAAAACGAAGAACCGTTTGTTTCTACGTAAAAAAAAAAATCAGTGAGGTAACAGGCATCCTTACGGGACACCTGGGCCTACAAACTCATCTGTACAAGATGGGATGTGGAGATAACAGCATATGCAGGGCATGTGGGGAAGATGACGAAACATTGGAACATTTTCTCTGCCAATGCCCAGCGTTTGCAAATATCAGATCCCAATTCATAGGGAACGACTCCATACCAGACTTTAATCAGACAATGGTAAATGGTATAAGACAGTTAAGAAATTTCATAAAGGCAACTGAATTTCAAATATAACAGACTATAAACTGCCCGTCTTCTTCTGGCTTAAGTGTATGCCCAACAGGGCATGTGGCGAATTGCTTTTCAACCTAACCTAACCACACCACAAAAGAAAAAAAATAGACTCAAACGAGCTAAAGAGTTGCTTCATTTGGCCGAAAGTGGTGAACTGCCGAATTTGGGTTTCTTCGATGAGAATACATTCATTGTCCAGCAGTTTGTAAACAAACAAAATGATAGTGTTTAATTGCCAAAGATGTCAGCTGAAAATGTGCACCTTCGGTTGGCCAAAAGAATTCAAGCGCCGGCCATGGTAATGGTGTGGACCGCCATAACAGCCGATGGTCGCATCAGAATAGAATAAATGCCGAATATTATCGCGAAAATATTCTGGAGGGTGTATTAAAGCCTTGGGCACGCAAACGCCGGGGACCTTGGACATTCCAACAGGACTCAGCACTATCGCACTCAGCACGCGCCACCCAAGAATGGTTACAAAATTAGGTTCCTCGCTTCATTTCCAGCGCACAATGGCCACCAAAATCTCCGGATACCAATCCGTTGGACTATTGTGTCTGGAGTATTTTGGAAAGCAAGGTTGGCACTAAAAAATACCAAAGTATCGATCACCTCAAGCAAGCGCTTCGCCGGGAATGGGCCAAAGTACCGCATAGCAACATTGGCCGTTTGAAGGCCATAATTCGTGCCAAAGGTGACCAATCTAAACTTATTCTAAAATTTGATGCTATTTCCGACATAAAATTTAAAAAAAATCTAAAAATTAAGGCGTTCGACTTTGTCGCAGTTTTTTATCTCACCCTGTATATACTTTATTAAGTCTACGATGATATTTAAGAATTAAAAAAAAAATTGAGATCAATCTGACGACGCTAGGTGTGAGTTTTCGAAATTGTACTTACAAAATTTAGCGTAGGGATCATTGTTTAACGACTGGTTTTCCTGAACTTCATACTTTAAGGGTACGGAGAGCACTCATAGGTATAAATTAGTTCAACATAGTTACTGATCAAACGATAAGTACTACATCTTTGAAATTTTTTAATAAGATCTGTATAAAGAGGATAAAGATTTTGGAATTCGTGCATCAAAACTACTAAATTATACAAAATAGAACAAAATTGTTATTGAACGATGTTAGATTTTTAAACTTCTTAGAGAATACTAAAAGAAAAGTACTAGAAGTTTCAATATGGTATGTCAAATTGTTTAACATTATAATTGAACGATCCATAGGAAATAAAATGTTGAGATTTACCACCTACATTTGTTCTATAGAAGCGAAATACAAGCGAGAACCCATACAAAAAGTAGTGAATGGTAAACAATTTTAATTAATCGATCGATAAAAGAATGGGTGACTTCGAGATTTTACACTATGAGGGTACGAAAAGAACTAAGAGAAAATTGTTATACTAAGTACTAAGAGAGAGAAAATTGTTACTGATCGATCGATATGGGCAAGTATTTGAAATTTTGTACCTTCCTATTAATTAAACACACGTTTAGTCATTTATAGCATCACCACATACATACCTATTATTATTTCAATCCTAAACCGTCGTCTCATGCGCATTATTTTTGCACTGGAACCACAGAATCATTGAACTAGAACCTACCCTAACGTGCAAGCCTCCCTATTACCCTTGTACATATGTAGTCACTTTTATGAATACAAATCAATCACGACACTCACCTTCTAAAATATTTAAACCAATAAATTTGGTTATTGGCCAAGGTTTGCGTTCAGTTGGTTTGATTTCCAGATTTTCAGCACGAAGTGCACATGGTAGTTGTTCGGTCGGTCGGTTGGTCGGCGTTCAGTCTTGTTGCATATTTCAATGACAGCGAAGAGACGATTCTGGCTAATGATCTTTCAATTTGTAATGTGGGTGAAAGGGGTGTTGCGGTGTATGGTTGGTTTAGTTGTGCGATGCCGACTTGTTGATTCTTCTTTGACTTTTATTTTGTTTTGTTACTTCTTTCCACTTTTCTTCTCTCGAACACTGGGGCTCTCTTTCGGGCTTATTTTTATTTTGATTTATTTCTTATTATTAAATTAACACATTTTTCATTTTTTATTTGTAAAGAATTTTTTCGACGACGCGAATAGCAACAGCAACTGTAACAACAACAAAGACCTAACAAAGAAAATAATAGTAATAATAAAAAATAACACACATAACACATTTATTATTTTAATACGAAGGCGACGACGCTGACGACGACAACGACAACGACGCGGAGCAAAAGTGACGACAGTCGGAGACTGCTGCAGCGGCAGCACAAGCAGAAGACATTCACAGTAACTCCATTGACTGATTTCTCTCCCAAGTTGAAAAGCAAGCCAAGACAAATCTATGCATATCATCAGCTGCCGAATCGAATACGTGAGTGGGTATGTATGCCTATATATTCAAATAAATATATATCTGTGGGATATGTTTGTGCGGTTGTCGAGCTTTTATACATACACAGAACGAACGTACGCCCGTAGTAAACCGAATATAAGTAGGTATCTCCCCTCCCAGCTTAGTCCAACGCGGCTGATATGAGAGTTATTAACTCTGATGATACTTACATACATTCCAATACACACTCGGATACATATACTTACGGACGTACTACAAATAGATAAAAGTACGTGCACACAAGGTAATCCCAGCAGTCTATTTGTAGGTCCGTTCGTCCGTCCGTCCAATCACCCGTCCGTAATTCTGTGCGTATCTAAATTTGCCCTCTTCCAATGTGCATACTTTGTGGTTAGTATAAACTTAGCTCTGCGGTGTGCGTAAGGGACATGTATGTATGTATATGTAATTATGTGTCACCGTAACATTGATGAACGATGGGTGAATTGGATGGATTGATATATTGTTGATACATGAATGTGTACCCATAATGTTCGTTCGTCTGTCCGTTTGCAGTACTATTTATGAAGTATCTACCTATATACTACACATGCTCTCGTTTGTTTATTTTTGTATCGAAGGAGAACTTCGAACGGTAAGATAGGTTTATCCTCCGAAATAGACTAAATCACCTAGGTAACTAGATTCTGTTTCATTTGTTTGGCATGCCAATGAGCGACTGGCCGGCTTTTGTTTTGCTTTGCTTTTTGTCTGGCTGGCTTATTTTGTTTTTCCTCCGGCTAAGTTGAGCTTGGAGTCGTGAAACAGCGACACTTAATTATTATTTTTATTATCTTCATTCGAACACTTTCCTCTGTGTTTGTTTTTGTTTTCTTATTTTTTCTGTTTTTGTTTCTTCTTTAATTTGCTCTTATTGTGTAGTGAGTTTTGTTGGTGCGCGAGAGAATACGGGTTCGACGACAGCCTGCGAGTGTTTACACGTTTGTGTGTTGTAATCATAATATTTAGAATCAACAGATTCTATTTGCGCGAGGGCCAACTGTTGGTTGTGCTGCGACTGAGCGCTCTGTTCGACGGCTGCCCCGATAGCGCGACTGCGACAGTAACTACTGCGCTATGTGAAGGTGGAGAAACATAAGTATGTATCTCTGCGTATAACGAAAAATAAAAAGCAATGCCGCCACTACGCGAGCACAGTAAACTAAATCGTACGTCCCAAATGGAAGCACAAAGTTAGTGTCACGAACTGCTATTGACAACTACGGGCCTATACTGTTGATTAAGACGATGCAACCAATTCCACGACGAATCAAATGAGCGAACACGTCAAACGTCGTTGTCGGACCGCATCGCACTGAAATAAAACTAAAGAAAACGCAAGCTAAGACATACTGTGTCTGGGCAGTAGTCGCTCACCAGTAACGTCAGTTAAGGCAGAGAAAACAAAACAATAACCTCCAGAGTTATTGTCTCCAAACCGAATATGAAGAGACAAAAACAATGTATGTAGGTACTTAGAGCTGTAGATGGATGGACACTGGTCTTGCCGTGGTAATTTACGAGCGATGCTAGAGCAAAGTGATATAAAGTATTGTCTTTTCGTTTTGCACTCTGGCCTGGCTATGCTGCTTTCCGAGCAACATGCGTATACATGTATCTGTTGATTCTGCCGGAACGCAACTGAAGCACTGGCACAGCCAGAACCAATTTCGCACAAGGTGTTTGCTTTTTATAAAAGTTCTAAGCATGAAGATGACAAGGTGGGGGGTTAAGAGATGCCAGCAATCTCACATCTGTGCTCCACATTTATGGGATGTGTGTATCTGCTGTTGGGTGTACTGCTTGTTGCACATTTGGGGCTATCTGAGCATCTTACACACACCATATAATAATATGTATATATTTATATGGCTATAGAGAGGTTAACAGAGAATGTGAGTCGAAAATACTCACACAATTTTTGGAGCATTTTCGCTGGCAGAGTTGCCAATAGCTTTGTTTTATAAGAATGCTGGTCAGTATTGCCGATTCATCATTTACGTGTTTAATACTTATTTTCGTTTTAATTTTTAGACTTACAATTTTTCAGTTTGAAAAATTTGGCTCATGCTAACCTAACTATCGTGGGAAACTTTCAATTCATCTCTTTCGAAGTCCCAATATTTAAGATTAATGAATGAAATACCCTTATTGTACTCTTCAGTTCGTTGGTATTGAAAAAGTTCTTAATTATAACATAGTTTTGGCAAAGGTTCTAGACGGGTTAGTTTAAATGCCATATAAATCGATATGGTCCACAAATTTAACCGACCGACTTTATGTATTTTAAACTGAAATGTCTTTAGAATCTTAATAGCAACCATATCAAAAAAGTTTTATAATATTGCCCATGTATCGGCACAGCCCAATTATTAACTTTTAATGATCTAAGTTTCCTTTCTCAAAACTCAATAAATGATTTTCTACAAGATTTATAATTTCAACAGAATTCGAAAATATTCAAAATAACTTTCTATGTTATGTTTGAGGTTTTCACCACATCAGTCGAATACAGTATTTTATTGATTACTGCCAAAATACCAAGAACGTACAAAATTTCAAAGTTGAACAAATTCAACATTGAGATAACTTTTTTATGTTGAAAATAAGACGAATAATAGAAAAATGTGAATTTAAGAAAGAAATATTTTACCATAGTGTGAGTGGTAAGCTTTTTGTACGGTACGGTAGGGTACAATCGTTTTTTTAAGAAGAGAAAAATGTTAAAAAAATGTTATTTACAAACAATACATTTAAAGAGTTTTATATGATATAAAATACGATTTAATTCTTAAATCTTTAAAGTGAGTTTGTTTGTTCTGCCGGGAATAGAATATTATCCGTCAAAAATCGTTTTACCTTCAAATTTCCTGAATTGTTATATTCAACTTGGTTCTGTTACATGAAGAATACTGATGACTATAGAGCATTCTCAAAGAACTTAAGATTAATAAACTAACAATTTGTTCTAACCTAAACAAGTTAAAAAGTATCAGTCGGTATTGGCGATATATATATATATATATATATATATATATATATATATATATATATATATATATATATATATATATATATATATATATATATATATATATATATATATATATATATATATATATATATATATATATATATATATATATATATTTGGCAGTATATATATATATATATATATATATATATATATATATATATATATATATATATATACCCTCAGCCTATGTTCGATTAAATAAACGAAATATATTTGACTAGTGTTACAATTATTCAAACGATTGACCCTCTATGGAGCTGTTCCGAAGGAATGGGCCAATATTGTCCATTTTGTATCAGACCCAAACATATGATATAAATATTTCTACGTTCCTGGTATTGATATATCTACTCACTAAAATGTGCGAGATGTACCATATAGAGTCTACCGAAATATTTCATTTTTATACTTCATCTGATACAAATAAAAAATATTGATCGAAATATTGGGCTAAATTAGGAGAAAGGATATTTATGTCCAATTTTATGCGAAATCATAAATTCCGATAAATGTCATATTCATTTCAGGCTTCTTATTGAGAGAAATATTTGAGCATAGCAAGTAGTAAAGAATTGCTAATTTATTTCGAAAGTTATGTCAGATAAAATTATTGAAAGTTGTGACCCTTTGTGGGTGAGGTACCAGAAGGAGTTCGCAGATATATATCAACTTCACAACAGATCTTGTGTTAGCAAAAATATTTGTATGTGTGAAAGAGAGTTTCATGCTTATTTCGCTTTATTTGAGCGTTTTGTTTTTCAAAATCTTGAACCCTAAGAATGGAGGAGGTACCAGAAGAAATGGTTCGATCTATACCACCTTTATAACAGATGTTGTGTTGATAGACCGATACATTCCATGTAAACAGCAGATCTTGGGTTTATAAAAAATTTGGAATGTGTGAAATTTGAAGACGTTCGGATCCTTACATCACATTTTATAAGAGTTATAATTATTCAAAATGTTGACCCTTTGTGGGGGAGGAGCTTGATGGAGTGAACCGGTGCTGTCCATTTTAGCACCTAATCTAGCACTGACGCAAATATTAGAAAAGTTAGAGCAAAATCGGGTAATTGTTTCTCTTTCTGTGCAAAAAAATATATTTTATATATATTTTTTTGAAAATGTTGACCTTTTGTGTGGGAGGTACCAAAAGGAGTGGACCGATGTATTCCCTCCTAACACCAGACCTTGGGGTAATAAAAATATTGGGATATGTGAAATTTGAAGATAATCGGACTCTTATATCAATAATAATTTTATATAACAAATAAAAGGTTAGACGTGTTTATTCACAAATAGAACTATTTAAAAATTGAAATGCCTACAACCTTTAAAATTAGTATGAATTACCTACCGACTATAGGATAACAGCTGTCCCAAGTTCGGCAGGGGATTGAAATCTTTAAAAAATGCGATTAATATAATTATTTTAATTGTCTCTATTATATGGATTAAAATGTACTGTAACAATGTCCAATCAGTTTTATTAAGTAAAAATTAGATTTTTTATTGAATATATTATTATTGAATATATTATTTCTTGGAACATGGCATGTTGAAAACATGGAAAGTGGAAAAAATACCGAATAATAAAAAGCACTATTTTAATAAAATTACATATTTAGTAAAAAATGGATCAACATTTGCTTATTATTTCGAAAACTTAAAAAAACTTCGAATCTGAATAAATTAAAGTTGTTATAATTGAAAAATTCCACTCAGAATGATGAATGATTGAAAAAGCGAAAATCCTAAATGTGCTGACTACTGGCACACTTACCTTATACCTGTTTTAAAAAATTCAATATCGTTGGAAACATATATGGAAGCTAAGCCAAAACCTGAAGCTTTGTGATCGGTTCACCCACGAGTCGATGGGTAAGGTAAACTTTCCAAAATGTCCCATTATAAAGACAAGACCAGAAGTTTTGTCACCTACAAATGACCAAAACACCAAATAGTTATAAAGGCTTTTAAATTATGAAAATATACAAGTAATAAACTTAAGTACAGCTGACTGGACTAAAAATTCGACCAAAGCTTTAGATATACTAAAATTTTGGAAAGTGGCTACATATAAATAGATTTTCTGTAATATTGCAGTGCAATTGAAAAAAGCGTTTTCACCATTATATACATTTTAGTAGATATTTACAGCACTTAACATTTTTCTTTTCGATTTGAAAGAATTGTTGTAAATTTTTTTAATTCTTTGCAAATAACAAAAATTCCACAGCACACCCGGATGAGGCATGAAAAACTATAAAAGACGGACGGACGGATTTGAAGTAACCGCACAATGGTCCATAATTTAAAATAGGTCACCCTAATTTTTTACTTCGTTCTAAAAGTGACAAACTTTTTATGTGTATGTTGTATAAATTTTCATTTTTAGAGCTCCTACCAAAAATCTCGTTTGTATCGTTATATGGGGACTACTAGAACTCTGCATAGCACAAAATAGTGTCAAACTTCTACATACTACCTAAATGGATTCTAGCGTGATTTACAAAAAGACAAATAAACTCAGAGTAATAATTTGAAAAAAAAATATTGAGAATCGGAACGACGATAATAATATACCCTCCATCTTATACTCATTGGTATGAGCATCATAAATTACAAACAAAACAAATCTAGAATGAATAAATTTGTTCGAAATTCCACCTCCCAAAATTGTGCACTTTGGAACATTTAATAACTTTCATACCAAAACAGCAACTCTTAAGTCTTATGAAAAAGTTTATGTATTGTCGTGGTTCTCCCATGTACCAATTAATTGTGTATAGACGGAAGTATACATTTAAGAGACTTGTAAGGGATGATGCACATTCTCTTCGAGATGGAGTGTACTCTTTACTGGTCTCTTTTCTATGCTGCTAACGCAGAGTGGAATTTGTGTGTATTTTTGGGTTAAATATTTACACAGTTTCTGTCAGCGTTTAAATATTTATTTTATGGGAAATTCATAGTTAAGAAAAATAATTTAATCTTCATTAGTTGCATATTTATTTAATCTTTCCGTTTGATTTGATTTTGATTTCAGAAGCCATGTGTACGCTTTTGCTTTGAAACTACTCCTACAATATCCATAACAGTATACTTCCTAGTTCCTTCTTAAAGGAAGCTGCCTTTTGAATTTTTTTATGAGGGTTCAACATTTTGAGCCGATTTTCCAAATTTCGGAACCCGCGTAAATTGAGTTTTTTTCGTTCTTAATCTAACGTTCCAAATCTACCAACTTGATCAGAGGACATAATACCCCTTAAATTTGAAATAAG